CTGGCTTACCATTGGCCATTGTTGTCATAGCTGGGAGCATGAGGGGAGTTGATGATGTTAAGGTGTGGGAAAATGCATTGACTGAATTACGAGATCGTGTAAGGAGTGTGAAAGATTCAAATGATGAGATATTTAAGCGGTTAAGATTTAGTTTTGATCGGTTGGATAGTTTGGAAGCCAGGAATTGTTTTCTTTATTGCTCATTCTTTCGAGAAGATTATGTGTTTTCTAGAAGGGAGTTGATAGAATGTTGGATTGATGAAGGACTAATTGATGGGTTGCCAAGTAGAGAAGCAGCTTATAACAGGGGCCATGCTATTATAGATAGGCTTGAAAAAAATTTCTTATTAGAGAAAGATTATAGGCTAGTTGGATTTGGTGGATATGTAGAACATATACTTGGGGCTAAGATGCATGATGTAGTGAGAGATATGGCTATCATAAGCATTGGTCCTGAATTTGGATATATGATAAAAGCTGGTATGAATTTGGTAGAGCTACCAGATGAGCATGGTTGGGTAAAAGATCCTAAGAAGTTGTCTCTAATGGAAAATAACATTTTAAAAGTTCCTCTTAGTTTATCCCCAAAATGTTCGACTCTTTCGACTTTGATATTATCAAGTAATCCTAATTTGTCAGAGATTCCAGAATCTTTTTTTGGGGAGATGCTTACTTTGAAGGTTCTTGATCTCTCTGGCACTGCTATTGAGACAGTACCTAATTCCATCTCTGAATTGAAGAATCTATCTACCCTGCGGTTACAACTTTGCAAGAAGTTAAAGTACTTGCCTTCCTTGGCAAACCTCAGGGGATTGAAGAAGTTGGACCTGCACAGGGCAGGGATTGAGGTGCTCCCTCAAGGCATGGGGATGTTGATAAGTCTTGAATATCTTGATTTGTTATTTTGTCCAAATCTGAAAGAGATTCCAACAGGAATATTACTTAACCTTTCCAGTCTCCAGTATTTGGCAGTTTGTTGTTTGCGAGAAACTACAATAGTGAGAAATTTGGAAGAGGTTGCTAGATTGAAGAAGTTGGAGACTTTAGAATGTAACTTTGATGACATACAAGACCTCAATTATTTTGTCAACAAGTTCAAAGATTTCCAAAGGGCTATTGCTTACAGTCTTCTAGTTGGGAGTGCAAAAGACATGCTTAGACAGAGCAAACATGAGCTTGTAATTACTGATTGCGAGATTGGGGAAGAAGGTATAGTGCTTCCAAATAAGCTTGAAGATTTGTGGACAACTGGGCTTAAAAAAATGGGAAGCAGCTTAAGCAAAATAGCTCTGTTAGAAAAAGCAAATGAGTTGAGGACATGCTATATTGAACATTGTGAAGAGATAGAGTGCGTGGTTGAGTTGGACTCATCCTCCTCCTCCTCCTCCTCCTCATTGCGTTTTCCAGTATTTGATAAGCTTGAAGAGCTGTCGCTTTGGCAATTGCCTAGGTTGTGTGAACTTGTGAGAGTGGAAAGAGAAGCAACACCATCGCACGTCTTTTCCAATCTTAAAAAGCTTCATGTAGCGTTTTGTTCGGGAATAAGGAAGTTGCTTCCACTTGAGCTACTGCAGACCCTCCAAAACTTAGAGGCGATTACAGTTTCTTTTTGCCATCAAATGGAGGAGATAATAGCATCATTAGATTCGGATGCATCATCATCGGATAAATTCACTTTCACTTTTCCTAAGTTAAGGGAATTGCACTTGTGGAACTTACCCCAATTGAAAGGCATCTGCAGTGCCAAAGGAGTTATGGTTTGTAATTCTATTGAAACAATTAAAATGGGTCGATGTCTGAAGTTAAAGAGGATCCCTATGCAACTTCCCCAACTTGATAATGGCCAACCATCTCCTCTTCCTCATCTGAGAGAAATCAAGATATTTGAAAGTTCAAACGAATGGTGGGAATCAGTGGAGTGGGATCATCCCAACGCTAAGAACCTCCTTCAACCCTTCTTGAAATATAAACTGACCAATACACAAATTTGGGAAATAATGTGTAGATTGAAGTGAAGAGCTGCAAACTACAAATGTAAAGCCACGTGCCAATAAAAGCATTTCCACAGTTCCTTCATTCCTCCCCCAACGAAAACAATTGGGTATTCTAGAAGAGAAAGAGATGGATGTGTCTGAGATGGAAACCCTAAGTGGGTATGTGTTGGAGATTTTAATTAAAAAATTGCAAATCATTTGTGCCCAGTCAGTTACGAATCCACCATTTTTCAAAAAAAAAAAAAATTACATTTGTGCA